AAGGAAAAAGTCATTTCTATATTCAACTTTTCATCAGAGCTATGGTCAAACCCCTTGCTTCTTACATGTCATGCTTAGTAGTCTTGGGAGTCTCTCAGTGGTTTTTGATCCCTTGAGAAGCTTCGACAAATGTCTTTTCTGTCAAATTATCCATCAGTCATACTGCTAATGTCTCATTTTCAATCTTGGGATGAAAATGTAGTCCTTACTGGACAATCAACCCAAAAAATTAATGCTGTCTGTTCATACGAACCCCAATCCCTATGTAACTTTAGTTTTTAAAGTTTACTAATGAAACATCGCTCAAGTGCTGTAAATTCTCTTACGTGTAAGAAGTTGAAAAGAGTCCAAGCTTGGTGACCTTGGCATGGTTTTACATTCTATTTTTCGTAGTTTATGTTGAGACTGCATTGGAAGCTGTGGATATGTGAAAAAGACAAATTTTAGGGGCAAACCTGAGTTTTTTGAATCTTAAAATTATTAAATACAATCACAGTTATTTATTTTCTAATACTACACCAATTTTTATCAAAAGCATTTTAGGGGGTTGAGTTTTCCAACAATTTCATCAGTTGGTCCACATGGGGCAATTATCCATTATTGTCCAATGGTGGAATCATGTGCTGAACTTGATCCAGATAGCATGTACCTATTTGATTCAGGAGCTCAGGTGTGTCAACTTACTTGATTAGTTTTTCAGTTTCTTCTTTATTTTCTTCACTTCCATTCTACCCTTTTTTTAAAACTATATTGATTATTTATGTTGATGTTTTCTGTGTTTCTGAAGTATCTAGATGGAACAACTGATATAACCCGGACAGTTCATTTCGGAAAACCTACATCTCATGAGAAAGCATGTTATACTGCGGTATGTAATACTTGTTTATTAATGATTATTTCTTCTGTTATCTGTGATTGAAGTTTGCTCTTGGTTATGTTGAATCTTAAGGCTAATTTGATTTTTCTGATGGTCAGGGTGCAGGGGTGGGGAGAAAAACTGTATTTGCTACTGAAAGTGCATGCTAAGTAATTACACAAAGTGTTGAAATTAAAAACTGAAATTAGTGATTTTTGGTGAAAAACGAGAGAATTAAAAAGCAAGTAAAGTATTAAATTTCTGACTGCAGAAGATTTATTCACAATTTATATTGCTTGAAGTCTAGAATACAAGTTCCCTTTTCATTCAAAGGGGGAAGTGGGCAAGGAATATTATGCCTGGCCTTTTTTTTTTTTTGAGCATCACCCTTGAGATACCACAATCTTGAAAGAACTATCTCCAAGACTAATTAATAACTGAAGCTTGAGTCTCCCAAACTTGTGCCTTAGATTTCTTTATTAGTCTTTTCATCAGACAATTTCTAGGCATTTTACATATAGAAAATTGGAGAAAAAATCTTCAACATCCTTATCAAGTTTAGAAATGATACTAACATAAATCAATAGGTTACCAGAATGAAAAAAAATTATTAAGGCCTTGACCTGATTGTGATCCCTTTAGTGCTATCAATGCCTGCCAATGATTTTGATCAAAATCAAACTAATTTGAAGCCTTATTTGTTATGTATTTGAATAGTTCTTTCAAACTAAAATGCATTCAACTTGTAGTACTAAATGTGAATTTTCTTACACATATTTCATTGTTCTGCTGAAAGTCAAACAAATCGAGATTCATTATTACTTTGAAAGTATTTTTGGTTGAATTTAAAAAGTTATATAAGCCCTCTATTATTGACACACAATAATTGGATTTGAAACGTGATAAATATGTTCAATTATCAAAACATGTTCAGCAGTAGCAATCAAATTTTTATTCTAATAACATCTCACTTGATATTTAAGTGTTAGTATCAGTTTTCTATTAAATCTTCTAAATTTAAACCAAAGGGGGAGTGCGCCTAGATGATTAGATCCATGTATGCAGTGGGTAACGTGATGCTTCAGAGATGTATATTCCCTGTAACTGTACGAGTCGTATAAAATTTTTATACATTTTCTTCTTAATTGTGCTGGATAAATTCTTCACATAGGAGACCATTTCACTTTTGAATCTGTTACTGCCCAGTTCTGAGAAAAGGTGTTACCTTTTGTTCTAATATCCTTTGATGGTGAATTTTTATCTCTTGCACGTATTTCTTACTGTTCTCTATCTCTATAACTTTATTTTAATTCAAAAAGGGCACAATTCATCTATCTTCCTCGAAAGTTTTGAATGAATTCTCTCTCCCATGATTAAAGAAGATGCTCCCTTTTTCTTAGTTATCAATTATCAACATCATAACTCTAATCTTGTTCTCATGTAGGTTCTCAAGGGTCATATTGGACTGGGGAATGCTCGGTTTCCTACTGGAACTACTGGTAAAATTGATTTTTTATTTAACTATTGATAATTCATATAGTTTTTAGTCTTGGAAAATTTCCTATTGACTTTAGAGTATCGGACTAGAAATTCTTTCATTGAACAATTCCACCAAAGAAATTCAGTCTGATCCATTAATGTTGGCTAGTTGATGATTTGGATAAAATAACTTGTTCTTTGTCTTTTTTTTTTTTTTTTCCCCTGAAACTGCTATTGTCAGGGCATATTCTCGATATTCTTGCACGGGTCCCTTTGTGGAAGGATGGTCTTCACTACAGACATGGTACTGGTCATGGAATTGGGTCTTACCTAAATGTTCACGAAGGTAACTTGACAAAATATTTTTTTGGTAGTAGTCCAATTGAACAATTTTTATTTTTTCCTTTTTAACTATATTTTGATTCTATGCAAAAAGAAATATAATGGTACTTTGGGGTGGAGAAGCTATTAATTTTGGAGTGCTATGATATTTGCTTACGCTCTGACCTACAAGGTTAATATTTATAAACTCGAGGAATATCGTGCCTATATACAGTGTGACATCGTTCTTTGATTATATGATCTACAATAGAAACATAGGATCAAATTCATAGCAAAATGAACGAGTCATGAACTGGTTCTCAATATCTTTGGGTAGTATTATCTATTGACTGTTCAACCTTCTTGTGTTTGCTTGCAGTGCAACTTTTTTTGGTAGTTGGTTTTACACGAACTTTATCTTTACATGGTGGTTTCTTGCATGAACACTCTGACAAAGAATGTTCTATAAGCTGAGCATCTTTAAAGAAACTTAGTTATGCGAGAATCATCTCATTCCATGTCCTGAAATCTGTACTTACACGATCCAACCGTGGATGCATCCATAACTATTTTGTTGATGGGCTCTATAATGTAAAATTCAGTTAATTTTCAAGGCTAAAAAATATTGCCAAAGAAAAATGAGTATATTGTTGCCTCGTGCAAAAAATTGTAATGTATTTTCGTGTTAACATTGTCAACACGTTTCCTAAATGTGAAAAGATATGTTGAATTTTCTCTTCTAATTATTAACATTATAAAGGATTTTTCCTCAATTAAATTTTATATATATTGTAGGATTAGTAACTATTTTAGAACATGGAACAGAGCTAATTTCTAAAGATTTCTTTAGTGCTGGGGATTATTAACCTTTGTGACATCACTTGTACAGGAGAATCTGGGTTCAGTTAATAATTTCCTAACTTGTGGTTTTGTTAGGACCTCATCAAATTAGTTTCAGACCACCTGCTCGGAATGTGCCATTACAACCTTCAATGACTGTTACGGATGGTAAGTATCTAATTTTTGGAACTCATTTGCTTTGATTTCTGGGCCCAGCCCATATTATACCATTTGTTATGACATTTTCATGAGAAGCAATTAAGAAAAAGTTTTATACGAGGCACAGCTTTTTTAATAGAAGGATAGGATGTCATCTATATATCTATCTGGAGATAACAGTGCTTTAACTTTATGCAATGTCAAAGGAAAACAAATATGTTTATTGTTCTACTTCATTATTTTTATGGAAACTAAAATTTAAATTCAGTTATAAGAATGAAAATGAGTTGCAATTCTATTATTCTACTGTGAGAATGAGGAGTCATGCCTCGCAAAGATATTGTAAGGCTTGGAAGTTTGGATATGTTATCTAAATGGTTCTCAAATGTCCCTGTATCGAAATACTTAACCAAAATGCATTCATTGATATATGCATTTGGTTTTTTAAAGTATGACTCTCTTATCTTGTGTGGCAAACAGTATTACGATCCTACTGATATTTTTTTAATGCACAATTGACCATTTTTCTTCCCTTTTTAC